TTGAGTTCAGTGTTTATTTGCGTGCGGAAATGGAACACATGAAAGCACACAAAATGCCGAGCATAAAAACACAATTACGCCCACTTCCACGTGATGGTTGGGGAAGGGCGGGGCTGGGCGACAGGACGACAGAGGCTGAAGGCCACATACACACACATGCGTAAATCTTCATATATAGAAGTTTGGCACATAACTTTGGTTTTTATAGTCGCACTGATTTCTATTTTAATACGAACGAGAAAAAATACACATAGCGCATTATGTGTGCAAGTGTGTGTGTATACTTATGTACTTGGAAAACGAAATGTCATAATATATGGCATAACTGATACATATATAATAAACCGCTTGAGGACACACAGCGCACAGCGGGAGCTGTTAACAATGCCATATCAACTGTTTGCTCAGCAGGAGCTTCAAGTGTGTTTGCCATCACAAGTTGCCCCTCATCGCTCTTCCTCTCTCTTAGACAGAGACAGCACAAGTGTTATAGAGAGAGAGAGAGAAAGTGCTAGTGCTGTATGGATGCTAAGAGTGGCGGTTTATGCTCCTGATGAGCTGCTCAATGACACGTGCAGCCTACGTCGCGTATGTGTGATATAATTTGTTATCGCCTCTGCTGATGACGTTTCTCCCACCAACTCTCTCTCTCTCTCTCTCTGTATCCACTCTCTCTTTCTCTCACACTGCTACTGGGCGACTCAACCAATGTAATAATTTCAGTCTGTCGTCTGTTTAATATTTTCGCGCCTAATGAAAAGTAGATCCCCAAGCTGTGGCAAGCCTCTTTGAGTGCGGCATTTACATCATTTGTCTCGACACAGTGTGTACACTGAGCGAAAAAACAATGTTCGCATATCATTTCTTCAGCAGGTTGTTGCTGTATATTTTCTTTTAATAACTTAGTTTTTTTGGTTCAGTTCGATTGCGTTAGTCAAATATGAAATATATATGTTAATGGTATCAATTTAAGTAGTTAAACTCTTAAATGAAGTATAAAATATTTATTTCAATGTCATGCCTAACTAATGAACTTGGCTTCTTTATGCAAGGCAACTGTGGTTTGCAAATACGAATATAATATCTTAAATACATTACTTTAAGCATCAAATTTGTTAATAAAGTAAACATATTTAATTCAAGTTTTAGAAGGTCTTTCAAGAGCTTAAGAATCTGAGTTCTTCAAATAACAAGTCATATTATTACTTATTCTAAGAAAACATTTTAGTCCTAACAATCCAACTTAGCTTACCGTTAAACCGAACTTTGGCACAAATACGTATCTTTTTCGCTGACTGCACATGCCACGCATATACACATACACGCACATGTGGGATTATCTTTATCTTAGTGTACGTATACATATATATATATATATATATATATATATATTTACTTTTTTTTTGCTCTTTGCAATTTTTTATGTTTGGGCCTGTTTTGTGCTGCTGGCAATTTGTTGTGCGCTGATAGCAGATAAGCATTTGATGAGGTTTATTATTAAATTAGAGATTGCTCTTGAAGCGCCTGGCAACAAGGCCCAAAAGACTGAGCTTTAAGCTGCTTACGCTACCCAATTCCCTCTGCCCAACCCACTTCACCGCCCCACTGTCTCCTGCCTTTTGTCAAGGCGCATTTGGCAATCAGTGCAGAAAGCGGCTTATATGAATTACTGCTCCGCAAAATTCAACTTTGCAAATAAAAGAAACTTTTGTGAAGCGTATTTCTAATGCAAATGCATTCACTCAAACACGCAGACATACACACACACACACACGCACACACGCACACACCTATATACCAACACACACACACACACATTTCAATTATTCGCACACAAAGTTTCAACAAAAATTATGCTCCCAATATAATGGGTTTTCCTATTTTTTTATTTTTTGTATATTTTCTTTGTTAAGTAAATCATCAAATGTTGACATTCGTGACAAATGTTGACACAAAGTTGATGAAATACTGTGAATTAAGAGTTTCGTTGTCAAAGCATTTTATTACTTTGTATAAGCTGTATATTCACATTTAAATAATATAAAACTCAATATCATGTTGTTGAATGCTGAACTCAATCCTCGCTGGAATTCGTGCAACTTTTTCAGCAATTAACAAACTTCAAAGGTCCAAAAATTCAGTGTAAAATAAAATATACATAAAATAAAAAATAAAATAGAAACATTTTGCATATATAAGTTGAAATTTTGTTGCTGGAATACCCCCAAATACGCAATGTTATATTCAAGAGGTTTGCAACATAAGACTCGCAAAGTTTTGAGACTGCAAATAAGAAAAAAATATCAGTTTTATTTTTCTATTTTTCTATTGTATGAAAATTAATTTAAAATTTGTGGAGGATAGTCTTTAAAATTATGCAATGGAAGTGTTTTATTTATGAAAAAATGAGACTAATTAAACATATAATCAAAAGTAAAAAAAAAAAAACACATACAAACTTTATCTTATAAAAAATAAATTCTCTAGAAATAAAAAAGTATTGGAATGATTCTCAACAGTATACTCGTATCATGAAATAAATATATTGAATTATAAATAACATACATTTACTAACAACGTTTCCAGCCTGCAGCATATGTAATTGACACTTTGTTTGAAGCCACGCTTGTATTTGTAAGCATTAAAGTCAATAAGCGAATTTTATTCATTTTTTGGCAACACGACAGAACAAACAATGTGTTATGCAAGTTTAGCTGCTTTCATCTGTTTAGACTAGCTGCAAAATTGTATTGTTTTGATTGGGATTATAATCTCAATATAAACAACAAATAAAGGAGTTTTCAACTTGCAACAAAAAACGACACATTTAAGATCGACTTAGGCCTACATGAGTGCATGTAACAAAATACGTATATATATATTTTAATCTGAAGGCTGAAACTCAGGAGTTAATGCCGACTTATTGTGACATCTGTCTTGATAACATTCTGTTTGATATGCCTAAAATAGGAAATGTGAAATTCAATTAGAGGATGAAATAAATCCACAGAATATTTTGTGTTGTGTGAAGTCAAGTTTGAAATGGCACAAGGAACTGTTTCAAATAGCATGTGTGTGTGTGTGGTATGTGTGTGTATGTGTGTGTGTGTATGTTCTGCAATATGTCTGTTTTAATAATTTAAAATATAAATTGCCATAAGCATACATACATGAGTTATATATTTTAACCACAAGCAATTTAAATATTAAATGACGATGAGCAGGCCAAAAAAGAGAAACGAAACACAAACAGACAGCTGCATATACATTTTGTGTCTGAGTGTGTATGTTTGTGTGAGTGTTTGTGTGTGTGTGTGAGAGAGTGTGTGTTGAGTAACTCATGCCAAAATCCATGGCGGCCTGCTGTAAAATCCCAACTCGCAATCTCATCCAATCTTTCAACCCTCAAACTCCCCCCATAAGGACACCTTCCTTGTTATTCTGCTGTTTCTCCAGCAACCACAACAGTTCCTTTATTTCTCTCTCTCTCTCCCTCTCCGTCTCTCTCTCTCTCTCTCACTCTTCTTCGTCTTTCTCCCATGCTCTGCATTGGCTTCTGTGTGTGCGCACGTCAAGTCGAATAAATTTAATAACGCATACACACGCACACACACGTATATGTATACGGGAAGTTACGCATACGCCAAGTGGGACCAAAACAGTTGCCAACTCAAGCGCTGCTGTTTGCCTCGCTGCTTGCCCCATTGTTTGAGCCGGGGGCATGCCCCAAGACGCGTCAGCGACCGCAGCATTGCGAACCCGGGCCTCTCTCTCCGTCTCTCTCTCTCTCTCTCTCTCTCTGATAACAATGCAAATTTGCGCAATATTTGTGCGTGCACTCAGAAAAAAAACCCATCTACTCAACTGCAAGTGCAAAGCGGCATCATTTTCTTGCTTTAAACATCGGGAATCAAATTCCCGGAATTAGATTTGGAATTAGAATTGGAATACCCTGCAATCGACTCTTTTGTTGATTTTGGTCAAGAATATATATAATTTAAATAGTCGAGGATGCCTCCTTTTGCCTCTTGGCAACTTCTTCCTATTTTTAATGGACTCAAGCTGTAAGTAATTATTACAACAATTTATTTTTGTACTATATACGAAGAATTTAGAGCTTGCCAGCCTCTAAGTTTAATTAGAGAACAAGTTGCTATGTTAATTTGAAGAGTGTATTTGCATTTGTGTATTTGTTGAGGAGTTCCTTTTCTTTTGGCATTTGCATTTGCATTCGCTTTAACTTTGCATACTTTTGTGCGTCGTTCGACGCTGTTTACAGTTTTAAGCACTTTGCCAAATTGGTCATAAATATATGTATATACACACACATACAATACCCATTCACACACACACATACATGCACACATACTGATTACCTTTTGTATGCTTGCCCCTGCATCGATTTTATAGTCGGCCTTTTGCCAATTTTACGTTTACCGTTTTAACGAGCCGTTCACATGTTGCGGCCATAAAATGCGTCACTGATAGCCGCACAGTCATAAACTTAACGCACACACTCGCACACACACAGACAGCTATACACACATACCCATTTTCACATCATTTGACTTGCGAGCAGTTTCAAGATTATCAATTGCACCATTAAACTTTGATAAGAGTGCAGGGCTCCCCCAATAATAATCTGGCAACCTTTGCCTTGAATTTTCAGATACCTTAACGCAGTAAAATATATATATAAAATATATATAAAATACACATTTACATTGACTTCAGAGATTCAGTGAACTTTGGGCTTTAAGTCAACGAACTGAGAGATGTTCTGAAATATGTCATCTATCAACATTTGTGTTTTCTGTATCGAGCCAAGAAAATCAATTAAAAGTGTCAGTCAAGAAAATAATGTTACTGCTATAATGTGGGTATTTTATATACTGATGACATTGAATGAAATAAAATTAAGCCAAGTAATGTCAATCGATAAGTTTTTGTTGGCTTACTTAAAAGCTTATTCAATTAATCCGTAAAAATGTGATAATTACCTTAAGTCTGAAAGCGCATGGATTTTGTATCCGTAGCTAGACATTCGATACAAATATAAGCTGAAAATAACAAATGAAGAAATAACAATTAGATAGCATTCATTATAAAATTAATAACTAATAATAGTTAAGCTCATTTGTAGATAAAAAAGTGTTTTTTTTTTAATTAAAATTAAAAATTGATTTTATGACTGCGTTTTCGAGAAATCTTGCAAACTATTTTATAGCACATTTAAGCTGTGTCTATAACATATTATATAAATATTATTATATTATATTAGAAAGCTCATGAAGCTTTGGCTAGATCTTTAATATTTGCTTAATGTCAACCAACCAATCTACACTAACCAATCAGCCAATGTTATAGCGCCTTTGAAGTTTCAAACACAAGCTCAAGCCACAAAAAGAAAAATATAACACCAGACAAACCAAAATTTATATAGCCCAGACACACATTGTGTCAGAGAGGGAGGAGGGGAGGGGGGTCAACTGTGGTGTGTATCATTAATATTAGTCAAGTTTCAAAAGACAGAGGCGCATTGTGTTACAAGCACACACATACACACACACCGAAGCACACACAGACACACACACAGGCAGACAGAGACTTTTGGGGATTTACGGGATCTCAGTTGCAAGTATCATGCCGCCCACTATCAACGCAGAGATGGGCGTGGTTGTCAATCCATCAAAGCCATCAATTTCTCGCACACATACACACACACATGCATAGATACCAAAAAGTCAGAGTCGATTTCATGTAATCAGCGCCACTGCATTTGACAACAACAACAATAACTACATCTTGCATCTTAATCATCGCAACTGTCTGCCACATGTTGTAGCAAGCTGGCAAGTGGATGAGCCAGGTAGCGAGGAGACTACTAATTTATGCATGCGCATATACATACAAGCATTCATATATCGTAATCATGAATATGCGAATACATTCGCGAGCAGAGCCAATCGCAATTGTGGGGCAACATTGAAAGACGCAGTCGCTTTTAAACTCTGGCTGCAACGTTTGTTGTTTGTTTGGCCAATTTGGTGCAATAGCCACAACAACAACAACAACAATTGTGGGAAAGGTTACCGCAAGAGTCATGGGAAATTTTTACAAAGTGTAGCAACAAAAAAAAAATCAAAACCACTAAATAAAGAAGATGCTGTCACGCTTTCATTATTAGGCAGTACACTGACAGAAAATTCAAGCACGACATTGTGCTTCATAGTCTAGATTGAAAAGAGTGAAATCTGATCTTTTTTCAAGTATGATTTTGGTAATGAAATTTTACGTATTTTGATTGAAGTATTTATCCTTTAGTGAGACTTAGGCGAACTTTAGACAAGCCAATGACTTCTTAATTCAAGTTAATTTGAGCAGTGTTGAATATGGTTTTGATTTCTTATTTTCAAAGCACTCAAATTGAATGATTCACACTTATTATAGTAATTGGAGACTTTTATTAGTTTATAAAGCTCTCACAGCTTACGTTGAAGGTTTTTGCGTTGTCATATTGGCTAAATCGTTATAGAATAAAGAAAATATAATATTGAAGTGAAACCATTATCAAAATGTATGCGTAAGTTATGAATGTAAAAATTTAGGAAATTTGAGTTCTCAGATGAATTCAAATTTAGTACTATGTACTTCGAGCTCAGTTGAGCCAATTTACATCCTGGATATAAAGAGTTTTGCGCCAATATATGTAACAAACAGAAGGAATCATCTTCTAACCAATAAAGTGATATAGATTCTTGATCAAGATCAAAAGCTGAGACGATTTAGGCATGTAAGTCTGGAAGAAAATGCCCATCTCAGAAACTAGGAAAATTAGAAACTTAAGATTTGGAATATTGCGGAATAGAACCAGTTCAATTCAATTATCACAAATCGATTTCCGATAATACTAAGAGTAACATTTTTACCGATTTTTGAATAGGATATATTCTCAATCATATCAATGAATTTAACAGTTTAGTACAGGATATTCTCTGGTCGAGTTAACTCAACTAAAGCGTTCTTACTTGTCTTAGCATATTTTTTTTTTTTTTTTGTTATCTGTGTATATTGTGGGTTCAAATCTAAATGAGTTCAGCTCATTTCAATTCGTCCATTTACTTTATGCCTGGTGGCTTATCGCCTGTTTGCCATCGCCTCCACACACACGTACACATACACACACGTCATATTTAGAAGAGTCGCGGTGCCATAATCAATAATTAAAGCTCACCTGGCTGCATCAAGATAGGAGCAGGTAAAATTTTCTATTAGCCATGCTCGAAAAGTGCCATAAATATCATGTCAAATGGGTTTTTATGCGCGCAGCAAGCAAACAGAGGCTAGCAGGCAGGTAGGGCAAACGATAGGACAAGGACTCATGTGGCAGACACACGTTGCAAAACTGTTGCCTTGTCTGCCAGTTTCTGTTTCTCTATTTCTGTGTCTGTTCCTGGTCCCTCAGTGTGCAGCATATGATGCAAATATTTCATTCATGACGCTTGTAAATCTTCTTTTGATTGCACTTAATACTTGTCACAGCAGCAAAAAAGAAAAAAAAAAACAAAAAATTGCAGCACACACACCACACACACATACACCCCATAGAGAACCACATGACGGTCTACAAACTACTAAAAAAATAAGGCAAGAGATAAAAAAAATGCCAACGGTAGAAGGAAATCATAATAATCCAACATGTTTGCATTCAAATTGAGAATATCTACCTTGTGTGTGTGTGGCTCACCAGAATGCGAGTGTGTATATATACATATATATGTGTGTGTGTGTGCGTGTGAGTTTATGTGTGTGTGGGTCATGAGGCACCGTAGTTGATGGGAAATTATGACTTTCATCAATTAGAATTATACAGCAATTTTAAATCAACAGTTTCGCAAGTCATTTTTGAAAATGAAAATAATCAATAAATTTTGCCGACTAAATAAATAAAAATAAATAATTTATGTTACCAGTTTGTTTTTCTTTTTTATTATAATTAAATTCTACCACATTTTTCCGGTTAATAAATTATTTGCTCAAATTCTATAAATTATAAATAAAAATTTGATTCTTGAATTTTTTACTGCATTTTTTTTTTCATAAAATAAATGATTTATAATTATTTTTCTTTAATTAATAGCCAATTTTATAAATTCCAAAGCATGAAAAGCTAAATAAAAAATTAAATGTTTTTGCTAAAGTTCGTTTTTTTTCTCCAATAATTAATGCAAATTTTATAATTGAAGACTGAATTATTGTAAATAAAATTAGAATAGAAGCTAAAATGCTTATTTTCATTAACAAATTGTATTTGTTCCTTTTTTAATAACGGAATACTTATGTTTGTTAGACATTTTTGTGTTATTTGAAAAGCTGGATTTATTCACGAATTCTTTTACCGAAACGATTTCATATTCGAGAAACCACAGTGCATAAGTTTGTTTGTTCGTGTGTGTGTGTGTGTGTGTGTGATTGTGTGCGTATGTTATCTGTAGGGAAATCTCATTTCATTTCCAGCACACATACGTGTATGCAAGCAGCTATACATGCCGAGCCTTTTGTAGTCATGTCTGCGCCATTCAGTTTTGCCAGTTAAAAATCAGGTTTCACAGCGAGTTTTAGGTTATCAGACAAACAAATCCACACCATACAAACACACACACACACACATTGCACACACACATATGCGCACACATCCCATAGGTAAATATCTGAACGAATGAGAGACACCTTTTAGCACGATTTATCGTTCTGGTGAGATCTTAAATCTTTCCATTCAAGGACTTTGCTTCTGTTTGAGTCTTTTATGTGTGTGTGTGTGTGTGTGTGACTGTGTGTGTTGCCTTGGCAATTCAATTCAATGAATTGCCGTTGCACGTTGGCATTTGCATCCTTGTTTTGTGTGGAATTATGAGATATTTATTGAAAGCGAAAATGCCACCAACTGAGCACAATATTTGCGGTAGCCGATTCATATCTAGGATTTCATTTCTTTGAGGTGAAAAGGATATGCTCGAAAGGATATTTGGGGGCACATCGCATTTAGCCAATTGTCAACAGGTTTTCTCTCTCTCTTTCTGTCTCTCTTCCCGCTTATTATCACCTACTTCTCAGCAAGTAAGTCTTATAAATCACAACAATTCGCAAGCCTTTTTTTTCATTTTCGTCGCAAATACCGCGAAAAATTCAAAGCGTCTGCTTGTTAACAGTTAGTTTGTGAGGGAAAAACGGGGCGGGGGGAGTGTAAGGTTGGTTTTTGGTTGGTGGTTTTGGGGAACAAGATGGCTCTGCTCAAAACTTTTCACATCTACAAATTGGTCTCGCCTCTAACCGCAAAAGTGCAGAGAGCCTTTTGACTTGTACTTCTACATTCCTTACTCCGATACCCTACCGAAGGGATTGCACTTTTCTCTTCAAGTGTGTAACGCATGTAGAAATTATATATATATTTATAAATTTATATAGAGTCGATTTGATACAGTTGTTTATTCATATCTTAAAGCTGATTTGATGGAACTTGTGTTGAATCCAACATTCTGAACAATACAACGAGAATATCTGAGAAGTGTTCTTCAGTCCTTAAGGGCATTTCAGCTTCGCTGTGTCTTAGACAATTGGTTTTTTCTCGTTTGTTTTTCGTTTCCGCTCTGACAAATTTCTCGTTCTCTTTTGCACGCACTTCTGGCTTCGGCAAAATGAAGCATAACAGAGCAAAAAAAAAAAGAGAAAATAAAAAAAATGTTAAAGAAAATGTGGCAAACAACACTAATACTAATACCCCCAAGAAAATGCCAGCAAACAAAGAGAAAAGCAACTTTCACAGTCAGTTTCTGCAAAACTTTGGCGACCTGGCCTTCAGCACTTGCTTCTTACATATAAGTATATATATATATATATACAAACATATAGATATACACATACATGCACAACTACAGCCCTTTTCACCCCCTTGCCCACTGCTGAAATGTTCGCGACCCTTTTTGCGACAAACAAATCCAACAAGCAACTTTTGTGTAAAACTTTATGCATTTCACTGCCGATGAAAACGCAAAAAGCGAAC